GCGTTCAACAATTACGCGTTTTTTTTTGTTCTCTTCGTTGTTTACTTCTTACAACAAAGATGGCGTCGAGATTTCAACAGCTAGAAAATAACTTTTTTCTTTCTTTCCTTAAGGCGTGATCTTGTGTCTTTCGTTCATGCGTTTACGGTTAAGGCCACGAGTTATCTGCGTGTTTATGGCGTTAAGTGCTGTTGTTGTACTGTGCACTTTACGGAAACCATGCTGATGCTTCGCTGGGGCCAGGTGCAGTGTTGCCGTTTTAGTCCTTTGGTGGCTAGATTTAGCTACCACATACTTTTTTTGGCCACATAAATTTAAAATTGCCCTAGCCCTTTTTTTAGCCCTTTTTAGAGTTTATTCATACTTGGCATGAAAAACTTGTATATGCTTAATTTGATCTAAAATTTTTTGTTCATCTATGTAAGAGATGAATTTTTGAACTAAGAATGACTGATATATATACATTAGACTGCATCACTCCCCATACAAAAAAAAAACTTGGTACTATTTTTCCATTGGAATTATAAAAGCTATTATATTTTAAGACGTCCACCAAAATATTTCGGAAAAATATTAAGATTTAAGTGAGCTGGACCGATTTGAAAATACCTCCAAAAATGGAGTTTTTTATGAATAAAAATAGTTTCTTAAAGATTTTTTTTTAAAAATCCCCTCAAATGACGAAACGGTTTAAGCTTAAAATATTTGCATAAGAATATTTAAAAAAAAAGAAAAAAAATTTTGAACGGAATCGTAATGATGAGATTTTTGATGCTGTTTTTTTAACTTTTTTCAAAGATTGGTATAGGAAAAACTTGAATAACTGAACCTAAACTCTTCCGATTTAGACTTAAGAGGTGTCAATGGAAAGGTATTTTCCCTTTTATTTCTTTGCTAATAAACTCATTCAAAGGATGGAAGAGAAAGGTAGGATGAACGAACTTCTTTCAAAGTTGAATTAAGTTGTGTTGGTATTCGAAAAAACAAGATGGGACACGAATGTCGTTTTTTTGGCCAGAAATAAAAACAGAGTGAAAATACCTTTCTACTGAGATCCCATAAGTCTACATCAGAACATTTTTGGCGCAATTATTCAAGTTTTTCGTAAACCAATCTTTGAAAAAAGTAAAAAACAGCATCAAAAATCCCGTTGAAAGGATTTTTAAAGATTTTTATGCAGATTTTTTAAGCTTAATCTAATTTGTTATCTGAGGGGACTTTTATCAAAAAGTTGTTTAAGAAACTATTTATTCATAAAAAACTTCATTTTTGGAGGTATTTTCAAATCGGTCCAGCTCGCTTAAATCTTAATATTTTTCCGAAATATTTTGGTGGACGTCTTAAAATATAATAATTTTATAATCCGGGCGGAAAAACCGCAACTTTTTTTGGTGATGCAGTCTAATATACATATATGTATTGTATGTTCCTTACGTTTTTATACTACTATAGTTTAAAGTAGATAAGTTTACGGCCCTTAATATGTGTATGTTCTTGTGGTGTGATTGTACCAGCTGCTGGTGCGACTTCACAAACTATTTGAAAATTTTATGATTGAAATGATTTGATGAAATTAGCTAAATTTTCTAAGTAAAAAGTATTTTGGCGGAAATTTCTTGCCCTATATGGGTCAAAGCCGTGTTTGTGGAAGATTAAGTTCACGATATTGTAGTTGGGAAAAAAACAATGTTTAATAATATGGTAGAAAAATTATGAAATTTTGGATCTAATCATTTCGATCTTTTCTCGACCTCATTTGTAAAGAAATAAATATTGTACCAGCATGCTGGTAAGTTATATGCTTCGAGCGTGATGGTACAATCACTTGATGGAGCAAGCAAGCTGGTGTCGTATATTTCCCCTTTTATACAAAAAGGTTTGTGGTTGGATAAAGTCTTAGGTTTTTTCCAGACTTCATTGTTTTTCTATACCATTACTTGTTGAAAATGTTTGCGTGTATACTTATATATGTATATGTAAGTAAAAAATTTAGCTACCATTTTTAGCCACAACGACTTTTTTTAGCTCTTTTTTAGCACTTTTTTAACGGAATTTGGCTACCGCTAAAAATGATTCGCGGCAACACTGGTCAGGCGGTTTGTGAAATACGGGAGTCGAAGGCCCCGAGTGTCTTCGCAACCGGGGAAAGGAGTGTTATCGGCCGATAAGAATCTCCTATGTTGGCAGGTTTCCCCGGTTTGAGCAGTGGGACCACTCTCCCCACCTTCCAGATGTCTGGGATGATGAGAGTGGCCATAGACAAATTGAGGACCTCCGTTAGGTACTATTAAATTTGCACTCAATTCTCTTTATTCAATATTTACATTAACTTCTTACCTAATTACAAATGCGCTGTAAGAATATTTAAATGTACAGCGGCTAGCGAATGCCGGCACGGTTCAACCAAGACTGCCCTACAACTCTCCTTGATCATAACATAGTCATGATCACTCAAACATTCGTTAAGTTGAAAGCTCTTAACAGTTGTGCCATAAGCTTGCATATTTAACACCCCTTAACGCATAGCATAGAACCCCGGTGGCTTCCTGGCCCTCATTGGAAAATCCCGCGCGGGTGACGGTGATGGGCTTGCTTCGATTGGAGCTGGCGACCGAAGCACTAAAGGAGGTGAATTCTCAGTCATCGGCGAAGCTTTTCCTGCCGGGATAGTTGAAACGGGTGACTCTGATTCAGCAGACAGATCGTCGTTTGCGTTCTCCTCTTTGCTTTCCGATATCTCTATGTAATGATCGGAAGAGACCAAGCGAGGACGAATTTGATCTAGATGTCGCTTGATTGTTCTTCCATCTTCGAGTCTAACAGTATACGATATGGGCCCAGTTCGTGATTCAGTTGTTGCTTGTTTCCAAAGGGGCCCGGATGCATAATTACGGATCCATACAGGATCATCCTTGGAAAACGTGTTGACCTTCGAGGTGTGGTTATCGGTTTGTGCGGTTAATTCATGTGGATGAATTTTATCAAAATATGGTTTAAGCTTCCTGTTAAACATTAGCTCTGCTGGCGACTGTCCGGTTGATGCATGTGGTGTGATGTGTTGGTTAAACAAGACTCGAACAAGCTCTAAATTTATATCGCATTTCGTAGACAGTTTTTTAAAAAACTGTTTAGTTGTTTGTACCATACGCTCAGCCTGTCCGTTTGAGGACGGATGGAATGGAGCACTGCGGATATGTCTTATCAGATTATCGTTCATAAATGACTTAAATAACTCCGAAGTGAAGGCGGTGCCATTGTCAGAAACAATAGAATCAGGTAGGCCGTGTGTTGAAAACAAGGTACGTAATGGCTTGATAGCGGCTTCTGACGATGTTGATTTCACGATAAAAACTTCTAGCCATTTAGAGTAAGAGTCTACTACAATGAAAAATTGTCGGCCCTGAAAAGGGCCTGCGAAGTCAATGTGTAGTCGTGACCATGGAACTTTGGTCGACTCCCACACGTGTACAGGAGCTTGCGAGTTGTTGTGGCGTGTAACTTGGCATGGTGTACAAAGCTTGACTACGCGTTCGATGTCAGCGTCTATTTGGGGCCACCACACGTAGCTCCTCGCTAAGGCTTTCATGCGCACAATTCCAGGGTGGCTTGCATGCAGTGCATCCAGGATTACTTGTCGACCACCCGGAGGTACGATGACGCGATTACCCCATAATAAACATCCTTTTAATGTTGATATCTCAGTGCGACGTACGAAGTAGGGATATAGTTTATTTTCACGAGTTAGAGTATTCGGCCACCCCCTTAACGCCCAGCTTAGCACCATAGATGTATCGGAGTCTTTTGCTGTGAGCGAAGCGACTTGTTTAGCGTCGAGCACGGGATGCGTAGTCATTTCTATCATCAACACTTCAGATGGTTCCTCATCTTTTTTGGCGTATGTGTCAACAGGAAAACGGCTAAGAAAATCTGCATTTCCCATTCTGCTCCCAGAGCGATGAATGATTTCAAAGTCGTAAGCGTTGAGAAAGATACACCTTCTAAGCATTTGATTAGAAATGACTGCGGGAATAGGCTTTGTTGAATTAAAAATACCAAGTAGGGGACGATGATCGGTGACAATCGTAAAACGCCTACCGTATAAGTAGTCGTTGAATTTCTTGACACCAGCAATAATTGCTACAGCTTCCCGGTCAATTTGTGCATAATTCCTTTCAGTTTTGTTCAATGTGCGAGAGTAAAAAGCCACTGGTCTTTCAGAACCGTCTTGCATACGATGGCTCAAGACTGCGCCAACTCCAAAAGGCGATGCATCACACACAAGCACAAGAGGCAGCTTCTCGTCGTAGTGGACAAGAACACGATCAGACACGATAAGTTGTTTGAGTTGCTCAAAAACTTCTTGATGATGCGACGTCCACAACCATTTGCAATTTTTGTCGAGCAGGCGATGCAAGGGCTCAGCAATTGTTGCTTTGTGTGGCAAAAAACAGTGGTAGAAATTGAGAAGCCCTAGAAACGCTTGTAGTTGTTTTTTATCGCTTGGTGGTGGTGCGTTTTGAATAGCTTTCAATTTCCCTGGAGCTGGTCGGATACCAAACGAATCCAGCTTAAATCCTAGAAATTCTATCGTTGGCTCATTGAATTTACACTTATCTTTATGCAGGCGAAGGCCAGCGTTGTCAAATCGAAGAAAAACTTGTTCCAGGCGATGGGCTAACTCTTGCTCAGATTTCCCCATAACTACGATATCATCGAAGTATGGTAGCACTCCAGGAATGTTACGCAGGAGGTTTTCAATAAAATTTTGAAAAATGCCTGGGGCGGAAGAAATTCCGAATTGTAACCGGTTTACGCGAAAAGCACCTTTGTGTGTTACAATAGTTTGCAGAATTGCAGATTTCTCATCCACGACTAGTTGCTGATATGCTTGCGCTAGATCCAATTTTGCGAACACGCTGCCCCCTTCAATTGATGAGAGTAATACGCTGACAGCCGGAATTTGAAAACAGTGTGGTTTAAGTGCCTTATTGAGTGTTGATTTATAATCACCACAAATTCTGATCGAGCCGTCACTCTTGGGAACGGGCACAATTGGCGTTGCCCATTCTGAATATTCAGTTGGTTCTAGTATACCCTGAGATATTAGGCGTTCTATTTCAGCTTCTACAAGGCCACGAGTTGACAATGGTATGCGACGGGGCGGAAGGCGAATCGGCTGTACAGATGGATCGATTTGAAGAGAGACGGGCGGTCCAGTACACTTTCCCAGCTCTTTGAAAAAAAGATGATTGAATTTGGTGAGAACGTTTTGTATCGAAGATGTGGTACTGATTTGATAGACCCCCTGGATGCTTATTCCCAGCGGTCCAAACCAGTTGCACCCTAGTACATTAGATCGATTACCATCAGCGACGACAACCGGGAGATCATTCACTAATATGCCGTTGTAGTTAATTTGCACATCCACTATGCCCTTTATTGGAATGCGATTGCCTTGGAAGTCAACGAGCTGTAGTTCACATTTGTATAATCTTGGATTAGCGCCCGCCCACACGCGCTCGAATGTCGATGATGACATAATTGTGTAATTGGACCCAGAATCGACTTCAAATTTGCAGCGTCGTCCATTGATTGTTATGGTAGTGGATTTCTTTAAATCCACGAGTGGTAGAATTTGATTTACCGAGTGTTTTTTTGTGTTCTTTTGTTGCGTTGAATTTGACTTCTTGTGTGAATCTTGTCGATGGGCATTTGAATTGTGGGATGAGCTGGTTGATCGGCAAACGCGCTGTAGATGCCCTTTGATTCCACATGAAGAGCATACAGTCTCAAGGTAAGTGGTAGAATTTGATTTACCGAGTGTTTTTTTGTGTTCTTTTGTTGCGTTGAATTTGACTTCTTGTGTGAATCTTGTCGATGGGCATTTGAATTGTGGGATGAGCTGGTTGATCGGCAAACGCGCTGTAGATGCCCTTTGATTCCACATGAAGAGCATACAGTCTCAAGGTAAGGACATTTGACACGTGCATGTTTTCCTCCACATCCCTGGCATGGCTTCATTGCTGCACTACTGCGATAGGTTGATGGCTTGTGACTACTTTGCTGGTTGTAGTTTTTACCGTTTCGTCTTATGATTTGTTGGACATGATCAGGTTGGCGTATCTCCAATGCATTTTTCGTGGCAGCTTCAGCTGTGGTAGCACGATCAATCACCTTTTGCAGCTGTAAGTCAGACTCAGCGAGCAAACTGCGTTGTAGTGCCTCGTCACGTAACCCACAAACCAACCGGTCACGCAGCATACGATCCAGAGCGGTACCAAAACTGCAATCGACCGCCAGCTTCCGTAAAGCAGCAACGTAATCAGCAAAGTTTTCATTGGGTTGCTGGTCGCGCTTGTGAAATTTATAGAACGCAGCGATTTCGGAAGGTTTAGGAGAAAAATGATTAGTCAGCGTACTTTTGATCTCCTTAAGTTTCAATTCACCTACCGGTTTAGGTGCTACCAATGATGTAAGGAGGTCAAAGAGACTCGGTCCGGCCAATGTCAAGAATATTGCTTTTTGACGCTCTCCCTCCTGTACATCATTGGCCATCAAATAGAGTTCGAAGCGTGCATAGTACGATAGCCATCTTTCAGGTTGAGCGATGTCAAACGGCTCCAGATTTCCCAAAGATGCCATTGTGCACAATACTTGATTCTTTATTTCACCTTCTTCTTTCAAAGGCATTCAAAATTTTTCCCACTTCAAGGTATAGAAAAAATCTTTTGCAATGAGAATGTACGAAATCAATCCGTTACTCCCGTTAAGAAACAAGTAATGCCAAAGTACAGGTAGCGCAGAATGGTGTGATAAACTTCACACAAAAACAATACCACACCCCGATGCCGTTTGCCTTTTCTTATTCACCAATTTATTTGTGAGTTGTTCTTGTTAAGTTCGTGTGCATAGAATCACGCCACAATTGGTAGGCACGTTTAAGAATATATATATATGCGCAAATTTTTCTTTTGTTTTTTTTTTTTTGGGACTACGAGCATCCCATTCTCGTCGCCAATATTAAATTTGCACTCAATTCTCTTTATTCAATATTTACATTAACTTATTACCTAATTACAAATGCGCTGTAAGAATATTTAAATGTACAGCGGCTAGCGAATGCCGGCACGGTTCAACCAAGACTGCCCTACAACTCTCCTTGATCATAACATAGTCATGATCACTCAAACATTCGTTAAGTTGAAAGCTCTTAACAGTTGTGCCATAAGCTTGCATATTTAACATTTTTTCATAAGTGCGATTATAACGGGCCACTCTTCTGCTGTCGTGATCTTGTCTTTTTGGTTCATGCCGTAAACGTACCTGTAAGAGAACGATTCTAGTAGCGTTGGACTTGTCAAAGGCGTTTGACACCGTCTGCCATTCCACGCTACTAGAAGATATAGAGGCCTCCTCTCTCCCACAGAGGCTCAAACGGTGGTCGGCAAATTATCTGAGTGGTCGACACTCGTCGGTAATGTTTAGAGACAAAACGAGTAAACTCAGAAAAATAAAACAGGGGGTTCCACAGGGTGGTGTCCTTTCCCCGTTACTGTTTAACTTTTACATTTCAAAGCTCCCTCAACCACCAGAGGGAGTCTCGATTGTCTCTTATGCCGACGATTGCTCGATCATGGCGACTGGGAATGGAATTGATGACCTGTGTTCGAAAGTAAACGGGTATCTCTCCGAACTTTCTCGCTTCTTCACTGCAAAGTGTCTAGCCCTCTCCCCTACGAAATCCTCCGCGACCCTGTTCACAACCTGGACGAAGGAGGTCAGGCTACCGCTGGGGATTCACGTCGATGACACACCAATTCCGACGGTGAATAACCCCAAAATACTCGGAGTAACATTCGACAGCCTGCTCTCCTTCTCTGCGCACTCAACCGCTATTGTCAATAAAGTACAGAGCCGCAACAAGGTCCTCAAGTCGCTAGCCGGCAGTACTTATGGAAAAGACAAAGAAACGTTGCTGGCAACATACAACGCAATAGGCCGGCCGGCTTAAACTACGCAACATCAGCGTGGTCGCCGGGGACTAGTAGGACGCAGTGGATGAAGCTACAGACGGTACAAAACACAGCACTTAGGACAGCGACCGGATGCCTCCTGATGTCACCAGAACACCACCTCCACGATGAGGCGAAAATGCTCCCAATTAGGGAGCACAACACGATGCTCTGCAAGCAGTTTCTGGTTGGGAGCCACAGATGTAGCTACCCAAATAGACAGCTGCTTGCAGAGGAGCCCTCGCCAAGGCACGTCAGGAGGCCTCTATATTAACTGACGGACGAAGTCCAGAGGTTCATTAAGCAGCCTCTCTACCCGTCAGCTTACAGACAGGCCCTGAACGGCATTCATAGGGACGCAGTCTCGAGTTATGTAGACTCTAGACCTCTGAATGCCGTTCTAGGCTTACAAACACCGGTCATCGACGCGACGGAGCTCCATCTGCCTCGGGTGACCAGAACAACAATAGCCCAACTTCGCTCTGGTTACTGCAGCAGGCTAAACTCCTACCTGAGTAGGCTAAATGCGGATGTGCCGAACGAATGTCCGGCATGCGGAGAGACCCCTCACGACTCGAAACATCTCTTCGCATGGCCGGAAAACCCCACAACCCAAACGGCGTCGTCCCTGTGGACCGACCCCATAGAGGCTGCACGCTTCTTGGGGCTGCCGTTAGTGGAACTCGACGACAACGACTGAGATATCATCCGATCTGGGCGGGGTTGTTGTAGCCGCTACAACAACAACAACAACAATAGACAATACCACCGACACAACAGACCACACTGCATATACAACTGCATCACCACACACACGCCACCGCCAACAACTCCTAGTCCCTCCAACCATCTGCACGGTGTGCCAGTCCAGGATATGCCGTAATGTGACATCAGTCAAGTGCAATACTTTCCCTGGCTGGTGTCACTTTAGAGCAGACCTGGGCGGCGCCTGCCCGGCAGGCATATCCGCGTATACATACACGCTCTGCTTTAGAAGGCAGTGAAAGCTTCATTCAACCGCACGACTTGTTCGCACGCACACAGTGACATCAATTTCTCGCACACTACAAAAATTCTCTGTCGAAGCTGCCCACCTCTGCATTAGAGCATGCTCAAGACTGCGCATCACGCGAGATTGGACGAGGGACTATGAGGGCCCATGCTTGGTCGCAATCCCCAACTGCGACGCCGCCCACTATCCCCACAGGGCAACAGCCTCAGCAGCAGCAAGCACAGCATGTGGCGGCCCGGCAACACACGTCACTAACACCTCGCATTCCAATAAGTCTCCCTAGGCACACGAAGATTTTACAATTCTTCAGAGAAATCGAGGAGATAACTGTCTTCATGAGTCGGCACGGAATATTAATAGCTGGGGTCAAAGAGACGAAGCTACACGGCAATTCAATACGGTTGAATTGCGCCAGATACAACGTGCACCGTGGAGATCGCGAGCGAGATAATCGTGCATTCATCACGCACCACACCGTGCAGTATCGTCATATCGAAGCAGACATCGACCGCAGGGACACAATCTTAGAATGTCAGGGAATTGCTATCCGGTCAGGCGATGTCGAGCTCGAAATATTCAACGTATATATACTAGGGGGGGTAAAAAAAATCCAAGTTTTTTTTTTTGGATCCGACACACGAAAACTAGTTCCTAGGGACCTCTAGAAAGTACTTTCCAAATCTGAGCTCTTAATATTAACGGGAAGATTATGCTCATCATAGTTTTCCATTTTCAATTTAGTCTCATTTAAAAATGGTCATTTATCATCACCAATAGATCGTTAAACCAGTTGCATCGTCAATATTTATAGGAATGATAATAGGAGATAATTTATGATCTATTTCAGAAAAAGAAGGTTTTTATTTAAGAAATATCATCAAACATATTAGTAGAAAAATAATTCTATTTCGCCATATGAAATTATATAATTCTATACAGTATTGATACAAAAATATATTTTTTCTTTTAGTTTAAGTTATAAAAATTGACTTGCTTGAAAATTGAATTTATAAAAATTGATAAACCCAAATTCTCATGATTATTGTCAAAATTCATAAATTGAATGGAAATACTATTAAAATCAGGCATTGGGATTCTACTGCGAATATCTTGTAAATGGTTAGAGTAATCGCTCNTAGTTTTCGTGTGTCGGATCAAAAAAAAAAAATACTCGATTTTTTTGACCCACCCTAATATATACCCTCTGCCACCAGCTGNTACTGCGAATATCTTGTAAATGGTTAGAGTAATCGCTCGACCTTTTTTGTAGAGCGTTCAATTTCCTATAGAAATAATTGAAACTCATTTGACAATAATTATTTTTTAGTTAGTTAAAAAATTCAAAACAATAAGGCCCCTACNATATCTTAAAAAAGGCAACATCAAATGTGTATATATGGAATCAGGGAAAGCTAAATCGTGGACATACTTAATCGAATATACTCTATCTCTTTAGCAGAAAAAAAGGCAATTTCCATAAAATCCGTTCCCTGGTGATAAGATATGACCATTTTTATATGAGACTAAATTGAAAATGGAAAACTATGATGAGCATAATCTTCCCGTTAATATTAAGAGCACAGATTTGGTAAGTACTTTCTAGAGGTACCTAGGAACTAGTTTTCGTGTGTCGGATCAAAAAAAAAAAATACTCGATTTTTTTGACCCACCCTAATATATACCCTCTGCCACCAGCTGCCGGCAGGATATCACCCTGAAATAGGTGCGCTCCTCAGAGGCGAAAACCGTATGGTAGTTGGTGACTTCAATGCGCACTACGATCTTTGGCATTCAATCCTGTCAAACGATCGTAGGGGAACACAATTGGCTGAGCAGATAGACGATTCGACATTCTGCACAATGAACGACGACGCACCCATCAGGATGATGGGCAGCTGCTGCAGGTCTCCAGACCTAACAATAGTCAGCGCTGGTCTGATTAACAGCGTATCATGGCGATTTATGCTGACGTTAGCATCAGACCACTTGCCTATAATATCTCGATTGATAAACCAGCCGACTTTGCTTCCGCGGATCACCGGACCTATGTCAACTTTTCTAAAGCTGATTTGGAAAGGCTTCGCGGATGTTACTGAAAGCGCCTTCGCTGCACTACCCACACCAACCGACGTTCACGTAGATGAGCGTAAATTTGGCAGGGTTGTCACTGCTGCTGCAGCCCGCTTCATCCCAGCGGGATGCATCTCGGACCCTCGTCCGAATATTCCTACTTAAGCGTCTGTCGTAGCCGATGAGCGCGACAACCTTCGTCAGACCGATCCCGGAAATCCCCGTATCAGGGATCTCAATGTAATGGAAATGGGAATAGCATCTGAAGACCTGCAACTTCGCCTCTGCAGTGAGTAAGCTTTGATCAACCGTGATCAATAGTGTAAACAAATACATTTATTCTGCTCAATATTGGTTATTTAACTAAAGTTATTACTACTAAAATGGCAACTCAAGATTCGACTTATTCCGANCGCTGAGCGACGATATAGTTCAATGCAGTCCAATTTTTAATTGTTTAATCTTAATTAAAAAATATTTACAATGTGGTTGTTCACGCTGATTAGGTATTTCATTGATTCTTACAAAGAAGTTGGAAACTGTGTACC